AACACTTGAAACCATACAACACTTGACACCATAGAACACTAGAAACCATAGAACACTTGAAACCATACAACACTTGACACCATAGAACACTAGAAACCATAGAACACTAGAAACCATAGAACACGAGAAACCATTGAACACTAGATACCATAGAACACTAGAAACATTGAATCACCACCAACCCTGGAACACTATCAACCCTAAAACCCTGCCATACTGCAGGTGCGAATTTCAACCAAAAACCGGGGGCTGTTTACAGCGTGCGATGCGATTGAATAGTTCTATCGCACTGCCGAGTCCCAAAAGACGAGTATAATCACATGTTTACAAATGGACAACCTTTTGCCAAAGACACCAGGTCATTCGAAAAAACTAAATATGGTTCTTAACCGCTGGTGCAGGTGGGGGGGTTTTCACCATACGGGTTTTCGCTGAAACCACTCCAAGATGAATGGTGTCAGGCATCTGAGTTGAGTTGTACAACAAGAACCATCTTCAGAAGACAACGTCACACGTGATTCATGTCAACACTATATTGCCACGGTGCTCGTCAGTTCTTTATGAAAAGACGAACATCAGGACAAATCACAAACTGGCATCAAAATGAAGCTACGAAGGAAACATATCATCACCGTCTATTGCTTTAATCCGTTCAGTTTTTCGACTATTTATGTCTCATAACAAGCAGAAGCCTTACAATATGACCCACCCTCCACTGTGGATTGCACCACAAAAAAAAAGATACGAGATCTGCGCCCATCATAGACGCCAGTGCAAATCCGAGCCTGATCACAGACGCACGTGTTCAACTGTCGAACCCATTCTACAGTAGACTGTCGCAGACGAGCGGACCGCCAAGCCAGCACATCTTGGCTTGTCAGCGGCAACCAATACCCACTCCCAACTGCGTAATAAATATATAAATGCGAGGTAGCACTGCTTAACTCGCCCTAATTCCAGCACATGTTTGGAACCTGATTTCTGCTGCCCAGCAGACATTTGTCATTCGGGGTCTCCAAACCAGATCTAATTTCAGTCTGACAGCACCCGCCAGCGCTCGACTGCAAGCGCGTGCACGCCCACCCGTGTGCCATTCGTATGTGTTACTAATGCAATGACTGCCACTCATCACCGTAGCTGTCCGACCCCCGTTGACCGTACTACAGGCACACGCACACGCACACCGACACGCACACCGCTATTGTTAAAACATGGCCTATGCCGTACACTAAGAGGTTCCGCTTCACAGACACGCAAATCCAATGTGTGGCAGGTATTCCTATTGGGACAGATGTGGCGCTTTGGTTAGCGCTATGACTCACGTCGTGTTAACGCGCACTAGCCCAGCCCCAGCAACCTGTCCCGTGCCCAAGCAGGCTGTTAGTATTAGCAAAGGTATGTGACGCTATGTACCTATGGTACCTTGTATGTCTGTGCTATACAGGCAGACATGAACCAGATCAGCTATTCGAAGGCTTCTCGTGATATCGTCACATACGCGAGTACCTCACTATGTCTAGGCCTGGTCGTGTATACCAGGCCACTCACAGCACTTGATCACACATGCTCATCTGTTCTGTCATACCAATCGACCCACCGCCCCAGCCAGTCACTCACTGACCCTCTCGCCCTGCTGCTGGTCCGACAGATTCGCCAGCAGCTGTGACAGCCAGCGCTTGGTAGTGGGGTCTTCCTTCAGCACATTCGCAAAGGCTGTATCACGCAGAGGCTCTGGCAGACACTGGCGCAGAGCCTCGCGGGCACGCGGGTTGTCGCTGAGGCGTAGGTAGCAACGCACTACGTGCTTGAGCAGGCGGACGGAGGGGTTCTTGACCAGCCCCTGTACCATGTTGCCCAGGACAGTAGCCACGGCGAAGAAGCGCTCGTATGTCTGCGGGTGCAGTAGAAAAGGGGCGGATGAGAATTGGGGTATAGGATTTTAGGGTTGATATAATTCCGCGCGAAGCGCCATAGAAATATGGAGGGTAATACCGGTTTGAGGGACGAGATGTGCGCAGAGTACGCTACAGGTACATATGACGAATGTAGGAATAAATTGGTTCATTTTAGTGGGGGCGTGAACAGCATTTGTGAGGCTGGAAGCCGGACAATAATCAATAATCAAAAACCAATAATCAATATTTAAACATAAGTACACACACATATATTTATATATATATATAAATATAAATATATATACATTTACATATAATAACCTCCACTCGTCTTAATATTCGTATAGCAGAGCAAGTGTCAAAGTGCGTTCGCAGGGCTTTGCACTCCAAGAAGACGTAGGGACACTCACGAGAATACATACACAGGCGCACCGATCACAGTAGCAATGCCCCACGCAAAATTATTCAACCACGTGCATGAATCCACTGAAAAATTCCCCGAGACCTTACAATGACGGTACTAACGCATTGACACCGTCAATTTGTACGATGAAGCACACAACATGTCGCAAATTGCTCGTCATTTTAACTCGATGTTATTGTCAATAGGTACATTCAAGCAAACAACATGTCGCAAATTGTTGGCAATTACAACTCATGTTATCGTCAATTAGTACACTCAAGCACACAACATGTCGCAAATTGTTAGTCATTCCAAATCAATGTTATCGCCGCATTCAAGCATCTTACTATCAAAAATACAGAAATACAGATACTAAATTGATGTACATACACCAATACTCAAGACAAGAAGCAGGCAAACGCACCGACATGTCCATGAATTTACAGGCATTCAGTTACATAGAAATGTTAACGATCATATCAGACTACTATCAAACTATAGCATCTGAAAATGTTTTATAACACACCGTCACAGACACAGACACAGACACAGACACAGACACGCATATATATATATATATATATATATATATATATGTAACGGCATACGTATACATATTCATACATGTAAGTATACATATATATATATAACTAAACTTACAAAGGTAAATACATACTTTAAAAATATATACAACCCGAAGATGTATACCTATAAATATATCTATATCTAGATATACAATTATAAAAGGCAATCATGCATCATTAAAACGCATTTTTCATGCAATCACGAATTATGACTATATAAACTTGCATACATTTGTAATACGCACACACACACACACACGTACAAGGTATGGACAATAAGATTAGCATCCATCTATACACAATCATGTAAGAAAAGGCGATATTCATACTCACGAACTGTCAATGCATTCGTAACCCATAAAAACATATACCCGCCTTCTTAACATGGCTTAGTTTAAAAATGAAGGAGGATGCGTGTACAATACATTGTACCCATGCGTCAACGAGTTCAACCCTACTACTAACAAGCGGCAGCACATGCATATAAGGAACAAAGTGAGACGTACCTGACATATATACTGCAAACCAAGCTCATCTAATAGAATCTTCTGCACGATGAAGGTGGCCACTGTCTTGGATAGTTCATTGCCCGTCTCCATGATACGCAGAGACAGAGGGATGATCTCAGTCGACAAAAGGAAGTTGATCACATCTGAATCATCCGTTTTCACCAAGGCTCCAATCACTCCCAGCGAAGTCAGGCGAAGGTATTCGAATGGCCTCGTTTTGCTGACCGTATTCAGGAATGGGTACAGTAGAAATGGAATGTGTGCCTTGAGAAACAGCGTACGGGTTTCGGGGTGAGACGCCACGCACTGCAGCAGAGCCAGCGCATTGCACACACGATTGGACGCATGTGCAGACAAAGAGGGGGGTGACAATAGGGGGTAGATAGTGACTATCTCCTGTACTAACGCAGCCATAGTACCTACAGAGTGCCATAGAATGGGGGCCAAGTCATGCACCCCCTCGCGTTTCTTGCTCAACTCCAGGAGCGCGTCCTCACGGAGATCTCGACTGAGTAGATCCATCACTAGTTTGAGCACCTTATCTCTGTCCAGATCCCCGTTGTTACCACTGAGACTAAAATTCTGCATGCCCTGGTTGATATGCTGCATCTTTTGCTGCTGCTGTTGTTGTTGCTGTTGTTGTTGCTGTTGCTGTTGTTGTTGTTGTTGCGGGTGTTGTTGTTGCGACTGTTGTTGGACACCGGGGGCACCGCCTTGCCCTGGCGGCTGTTGGCGCATTGGCATCATATTGCTAAAGTTAAGATCTATTTAATATAATATGTATGTCACTTGATATATAATACAAACGTGTGTGACACAACTGGGATGGCCAAAATATACAGGTCTTCTGTTGACAGTTGAAAGATGCGATTTTAGCAAGGCATGTAATACCATCAAATTGACTTCTCTTCTAACTAGTAGGATGGAACCGTTATAGAGATAAATACTTAATACTGACAGTAGGCTGAATCAATAGCGAGACTCGCTATTAGATGAATATTCGCCTATGGCTGCATATATAGAAGTGCTAACAAGTAAGTAGATCGGGATATGTTTGCTTCCACATACATATTGTCCTCGCAACCAACTATTTACTATTTACTATTTATACAACACTGCTATTTCACAATTGACGTTATAAAAATAAAATATACTTTGCTTTGTAAGGATATAAATAGAACTGTCCCAAAGTAAGGACTCCCGCGATAAGGTCAGTTTGAGCCCAAATTTTGTAACAGAATGGGACAAGTGAAGGTATTTACGACATTACGTCATGTCTTTAATTAATTACCATACTTTTTAAACTCCAGATCAATACCAAATCTGCTTACGTTTTAATACGAACTGAGTATGATTAAAACCTTTTTTAACCGTTTCATACATGTTTGAAACCCAGCGCTCGACCGATCATCATTTATTGTATACACATGAGGTTAAAAATTAAATAAATAAAAATATTTACTATAATCGAGTCCGATCTCTCTCTCTAGAGAGTGAAGTAAAAATAAATAAATACTTATCGGCAGTAATAGTTTCTATGAGGGGACGGGGTTAACTTCTCGCCTGATGCTGCCCTACGTGCCCTTGCTTCCACCATCTCTATATTTATTTATTTTGCTCTAGGGCCACGAGCACGCGCGTGTGTATGCAGCGGTAGCCTGTATATAAACAAGCTTTACAAAGAGTATGTGCATCACTCTTCAATATCATCGTAAGCTTACTAGTATAGTAAGCAATACCCAGCCAGCGCACTAACACCCATAATGTCTGGATTTACTGCTGACGATTTCGACGCCTTCGGTGGCGAGACTTCCATGGAGCTACAGGTCCAAGAGGTATGTTTAAAAATCCGCATATCCACCGCTTTGTATTTGGATGGAATCCTTTGTGCGAATTTCATTATAGATTTATATGCCGCCATTCAAGCATCTATTGTAATGTACTGATTTATTATATGATTACATCTCACTGATCCTCATATATATCCATGTTTGCCCTCAGCTTGGAATCCCACCCCACAAAGAGCGTGTGTCGAGGGAGAAGCAACTATTCGCAGAAGCCAAGGCGCGAATGCTGCAGAAGCTGCAAGAAGACGCACTGAATTCCTCAGGGTCAGAGACCAAAGTTGGCTACGGAGCTCAGTTTGCTCGCTATTGAGAAGTGTTTGTTTCTAACGACACGCATATACGCGCTATTTACACACACTACAACCATCTATGCGCTGTTTCACGCTGTCGAATCATCACAGCCTGGATATCCGATCAGCAACATACGATCGCCTGCACACCACACAAGCCCACGATTACGCAATCATTTCCTTCCATACACCAGTCAGGTGTTATGTATTAGGATTTATTCTGGGACGACATTTCACCTAATTCAAGTTTAGTAATGTTTAGTATTAATGATTAGTTGCTGTACAGTCATCGTGCCTGACCGAAAACGCATTCAATAGGCAAATCAGCACTAGCCTCCACGGCTTAGAAGTTGAATAAACGGGACTGTGCCTGCTCATCACAGTCCAATCATCAACATACATTTTCTGTTAACACATAGCCTTTAGTACTAAATTGAGAGTAGTCTGTTGTAGACCACAGTAACAGTCACTCGACCATGTCTTCGGATCAGCTTCTCTCAATCCATTCGACAAACTGATCGGCGTGTTCCTTTGTAACCGTTGGTTTGTTCGCAGCCAAAGCCTTGACGAAATCCATCAGAGTCGCTGCGCGTAAACGCAAGAGGTCCCGGTCAACCTGCAGACACAAATGGCCGGGGGGAGAATTAGTGAGCGATACATTTAGAGCACAGATGGCAGAGAAAGAAATAGATGGGCACACTTTAGTTTGGTCTAATGGATTTTTTTGGTTCCAAACTCGACTGTCGATGTAATGATCAGCAGTACAAGCATGTAAATACACGTTTCAGTAGATTTATACTTTCTTCGCCTGAATAATACTATCAGTACCAGTCCCTTGTACTTGTCACTTGATTGCGTTGTATCTATCCGTTCTTATCCGTCCTATACGATGATTACATTAAATATTTTGGCAAAGCCAATCAGTCAGGATATAATAGGGAGTATATATATATATTGTTATATATTGTTATATATTGTTATATATTATTATATAGATTGTTAAATATTGTTATATATTGTTACATATATTATTATATATTGTCATATATAGTTATATATACTGTTATAGATATATATTTATATATATTTATACTGTTTTAGATGTATACATATTTGATTTGAAGGCTATGTATGTTTTTACAGCTTTTTTAATATTTATTAAAAAACCATTGCTTATATTTTATTATCATCACTTCAGAATGTTCAGATATCAGACGACCATAGAGTTGATTTCTCTCCCCAAACCCATATATAGACACTATCAGCTGCTGAGAAATCTCTGGCGTTTCTGCTGATATTTCATATTTCCAAAACTTCTGAAAATTAGACACTACATACATCAACCAAATCTAAATAAACTGGCAAGAGGGGAAGCACTACAGAAACGTGATGCCAGTATGTATTATGAATGCTATGGCAAGAGTCGATACCATAACCGACGTTATATTCCTCAAAGAGTACTAACTCAAGGTTCCTTCTAAAGTCAACCCCGATGATCATATGACAACCCACCACTGAATCATACCTCGGCTATTGTCATCTCCATAGCACCGGGAGCGTCTGCAGCACACGGCATCAGGTATTCGGCGTTTGGGTACTATAGACGCAGGACAGTATTCTTATATAAATGGTCATCATTCTCTACGAGGTACACTCAGGTTGTTGACATAGCTAAAAAATAGTCTATCCTTCGCATCATCTTTCTGCCATTTGGTCCCTAGACAAAGGTACACTTCATAGTGTTCCCAGATACTGCACAATTCAGCCTGGCTGTCCATCAAAGTGCTATGTCTCAATCCCGTTACAAATCTTTCTGTAAGTGTATGGATTGGTGAACTTTTACACACTCACCATGTCAGTGAACTCGCGAAAAATTACAGTGACTAGAGAGATCTGAAACGTTGTGTCAGGGTATATTTCGTACGTATTTCAATCGGGTGAAACCCTGGTAGTTTTAGCATAGGTTAGCAACTGTTCTTTAACATCGTGTAGATCGACAATATATAGTGTACTAGGTTTCACAGAAGTATTTTTACTGCGATTGTCGAGCAAGCACTCATGCCTTCCCAACACTATTTATATGTGGATTCAAAGGAAGCACTCATGCCTTCCCAACACTATTTATATGTGGATTCAAAGGGTTGTATTGTACGCTACGTGTGTCTGCACCTCGATAGATGACATCTAACGAGTGGTCCGGAATCATCCGAAATGAATGTCAGATTATATCACTTTAAGTAAAGCGAACACGTGTGTATGGCAAGCTGTGTATTAAGACGAAGTACATGCATGTATTGTGGTCATGTACCTTCCGGGTGAAATGCGTGGCAGCCTGCAGCTCTCTGTACACGGAAGTATCGTAGTAAATAGAAGAAACAATTAAAGGTCAGTAGCCGCGAGTGCGGTCTTTCTATGGGCTGGTTAGACTCATAGTGTCCGAAAGATTACGGACACGCCAGTAAATAGCATATTGAAGTATGCCTGGTCGTTGAGGAGTTGCTCAGCTGGACTCTATATACGTCGCAAAATGGCGGGATACTTTTAGTGACTCGTGCGTTAGAAGCGAAGAAGAATTGGGGGGGAAAGCTCAAATATGATTTTTTGTAGTGTAGAATCCAATATCATACTTGAAGGTGCAGCCGAGATGGTATGTGTTCTACTGATTGTCTAGTAATAGTATTATACTATGGTACAGGTATAGTATTTTACCATGGTATGGTAGTAGTAATTTACTTTGGTAAAATAATGGTATTTTACTAAAGTATAGTAATAGTACTTTCCTGTGGTATGGTAACAGTATTTTACTATGGTATGGTTATAGTATGGTAATAGTATTTTACTATGGTAAAATAGTGGTATTTTACTAAAGTATAATAATAGTACTTTCCTGTGGTATAGTAATAGTATTTTAATACGGTATGGTAGTAGTAATTTACTTTGGTAAAATAATTGTATTTTACTATAGTATAGTAATAGGTCGTTCCTATGGTATTACTATTTTACTATGGTATGGTAATAGTATTTTACTATGGTATGTCGAATCGTCTCTTAAAAAATTGAGCAATAAAAACAGTTCCAAAGGGAAGTGCGCCAGATATACAACCACGGATCAGTCCAGCACAGCCACGTGTTACAGCCCGCAACACAATCTCAGTCGAGCACCTTAATGCGCTTCATAGTTCTATCTCCGAGGTATGTTTGCGTATGTATCAATGACTAGACCAGAGCACGTGCTTTCTAGGACGCAACCAAAAAGACATGTTGTATAGCATCGGAGGCGCCGCTCGCGGTTTAAGTACTAAACGGGTCCGAGTGTAAGATACGTTATTACATCACAGATGCACCTGATCGGCTCCAGGAGAGCATCATTCACGCAGATGGCAATGTCGTTCCCGGAATATCCATTGGTTCTGTGTTGAGTTGTGAATTGTTTATGTTATACCCATTGGCACTGTGTTGAATGGTGAGTTGGATATGCTCTACCCATTGGTTCTGTGTTGAGTTGTGAATTGGTTATGCTATACCCATTGGTTCTGAGTTGGATTGTGAGTTGGTTATGCTCTACCCATTGGTTCTGTGTTGAATTGTGAGTTGGTTATGTTATATCCATTGGTTCTGTGTTGAATTGTGATTTGGTTATACTCTACCCATTGGTTCTGTGTTGAATTG